CTTATATTATGATGCAGGCCACGTGCCCAAGGAAACTCCCTTTCAACTGATTGGCTACTCACAGCAGATCCCATCATGGGAGTGATCACATATAAACACTGAGAATCATGGCCTAGCCAAGTTGAGACACAATCTTAACCATCACACTTACTAATACAGTAGAATTTTTTTCAGGGTAGCAATATGTCCAAGATCAAAAACTATAATCTCCCAACCTCCCTTACAGCTAGGAGTGGCTAGTGAGATATAAACAGAAGTTTTATGATGGTACTTTTAAAATGAGACAGACTTGTATGACTTGGCCCTTTGTCCTACTGTTCCTTCCTTTATGGAACACAGTTTCTCAGTGTTGGAAGTGGAGCAGTCATATGGTGATAATGAGCTGACAAGCATATGCTGAGGGTGACTGAGTGAAGAGTAAAAGAATATCCCTGATGTCATTATGGAGCTGCTCTACCAGTCCTGAACTGACTCCTCTATATTTTTAAGCCACTGTTTTTCAGGTTTCTATTAATAGCTGAATATAATTAACTGATGATAATGAAGAATTTCACAGATTAAAAAATATAAAAGTATATTTCTAATGTAAGTTATACATCTAATGTCAGTATACATCTAATGTAAGTTCCAGAAAGGAGATTAGAGGGGTAGAAGGGAGAAGAAATATCTGAAGAAATAATGGTTGAGAATTTTCTGGAAGTAAAGAAAAACATGATTCTTCAGGTTGAAAGTACACTGGGTATTGAGTAGGATAAATAAAAATAAATCTGCACTTAGACACATTATAGTGCAGCTGCAGAACATGAAGGACAAGGAGCAAATCATAAAAACTTCCAGAGAGAAAAAGATTACTGACAATGACCCACTGACAACTGTTATCAGCAACAGTAGATACTGGAAGATTGCCAGAAGACTATCTGCAAAATTGCTGAAGGAAAATAAATGTCAACCTTAGTTTTGTATCTAGCCAGATTATTATCTAGTACATACAGAGACTAAAAAGCTGATGTAGCATTACTGAAAGAATTACTAAAGGATGCGTTTTGAAAACAAAGCAAGTAAATTCAGAAGGAAGATGTGAGATACAAGAAATAATTATGAGCTCAGAAATTGATGAAACATGTTGGTAAATTTAATTTAATATTGATTGTAAAATTTAAAAAAATTCTTGTAGTTTAAAAAACCTCAAGCTACCCTGAACAACAATATAAGATATGATGGTGTGTTCCATAAGGAAAATGTGGTGTGGTCTTGAATTTCTTAGATAAGGGGGTAAAAACACCAAATAACTTGAAAATTTATTAGAAAAGTTAATTGCCAAGTATGAATTTAAAAATTTTAAGGGTAAACACTAAAAGTAGAGGGGGAAAGGGAAATATAGAAAACTCTAACTCTGAGAAAAAGAGCAAAATAATTCGCGTGGTAAAAGATCACGAATTAATGTGATAGAAATAAATTCAAATATATCAGTAATTACAAAAACTGTGATTGTCAGATTGTTATTTAAAATCCTACTATTTGCTGATTATGAGAGACACACCTAAAACTTAAGAGAGAAGGTTGAAGGGAAAGGATGGAAAAGTATATACTAGTCAGATAGCAACCAAAGGAAAATTGACGTGGTTATATTAATATACAAAACAATATGAACTTCTGTATGCAACAAAGGACTTGCATCCAGTATACGTAAAGATCTCTTACAACTCAGTAATAAAAGACACATAACCCAATAAAAAACTGGGCAAAAGATTTTAATAGACTTTTTACCAAAGAAGATGTACAGATGGCAGGTACATGAAAAGATTTTCAACATGATTAGCTATTAGGGAACTGCAAGTGAAAATCACAAGAGATACTACATACTGTACTAGGATGGCTCAAATGAAAAAAACTGGCAAAGATGGAACAACTGGAATGCTCATACATTACTGGTGGGAATGCAGTCATTTTGGAAAACAATTTGTTCCTTTCTATAAAGGAAAGGAAAGAAATATATATTCAATATTTTTGAAGTTTTACATATGTAATATATTCTCAACATGTATAATGCAAAAATTAATGCAATTACTCAGAAGTTGACAGATTAATTGTCGTAGTGGAGGAGTTACAAACTATCTCAGTATTTGACGTTATTTTCTATACTTTTTTGTGTAAAACATTTCATAATATTTAAAGAAAAGGAAAAGATTATTCTAAAACAGTATCTGTTCATTTCAGTAAGATTATTTTGACACAGACTCATTCAGTTACAATAGTTTATTACTAATGTTTATTACATACTAAAAAGAGTCATGTTCTGCATATCACATCTGAATGCTATGAAAATTATTTCATTTTAATGGCTGTTTTATTGTGGTAAAGTATAAAACTTACTATTTTAAGCATTTTTAAGTGTACAGTTCAGTAGCATTAATTCTGTTCACAGTGTTGTGCAACCATCACCACTTTATTGTTCAAAACTTTTTCATCCCCCTAGACAGAAATACTGTATTTATTAAGCATTTAATGGATCTTTTTAATGTGATTTTTTTCTCAAAGTATTTTGTATTTCTGCTACTTGTTTCAATTTTACTTAACACTAGAAACCTAATGATTTACAAATTTAAGTTGTAAGTTTCCAGCTGATTGGCCACAATTCAGTAGCTATGACATATCAAAGTGAGATGGCAGACAAATATGTAAGTGGTTCCACAACTATCAAAAGACTGTTCTCATCAAAGCTATAAAGGTTGGGTTGTTGGAGTTTTGGGGAGAATTTCTTTTATAAGAGCTGATACTGTGCTGTGAATCCCTACCACCATCCTAAATGAGTATAGGGAAAGTTCCTGCCTTTTTCCTCAAGCCTAGTGAATCGAGGTTTTAGCAAGACTCAAAGAGAGCTTGATTAGGGTCTCCTGCAGTAAGTGGGGCATAGTGGAGTGGTGTCCTGACTATTGACCAGGAAGTTTTGAGGATAAGAGATGTGCTTTCTAGCTAGAACATAGCTAATGTGTGGGGATTATTATGCATTCCTAGGGTTTGTTAGTGTGTGACCTGTTGGCGGACGTGAACAGAGAGAGGTCACAATTACATGTATGAGCAAGTGCATGTACCCTCTGTGTGTGTGTGTATGTATGTATTTTCTCTTAGAGCTTGTCTAGTAGGGCCACCTGGAGGGACAGAGTGGCCTCACTGGAGGACAAACTCTAAATGGACCACCAGATTCCTTCACGTCTGAGGAGGGAGTAGTTGACTACTGGAATAGCATGTATTAGCCAGGTCAAGGGAACTCTTTAAGTGAGAGACCATGGGGAAGTGTCCAAACAACCCTCCAAAAGGTCTAATGAGGAAAAGCATCTGCATTAAAATCTGCCAGACCCAGAGAGTGTGAAGTCAATTTATGACTCTGCTAGTCTAGTAAGAACTTCTGGATTTAACTTCCCTGTTCTTCCTCCCTCTTCACTCCAACCCTGGAGGAATTCAGAAACAGCATCTAGCCCAGCACCTCAAAGGCAGAGCAGGAGGTGAATCTGAAAAGAATGACAGGGTACCCCTTCCTTGCAGGCAAGTAACTACCTGCAGTAGTGTGCCCCAGTGTTGGGGGAAAGGAATGGAGAAGTCTTACGTTTCCAGTAGGAAATTTTGACTCTTACCACATGGGCCTGGAGAGTCTCCTGTTCTGAAACATGGCAAGCATTCTTGCATTGCAGGGACTTTATACTTGCTGTTGCTTGTGCCTAGAATGCTCTTGTCCCTAGTGGTTTCCACATGTCTTGGCTCCTTTACCTCCATAGGGTCTTTGCTCAAATGTTACATTCTCAGTGAGTTCTTCCTTAACTACCTTATTTATAGTTCAGACCACCCCTGCCCCGACCCTCTGTGAGCCTTTACCCTGCTTTATTTTTCTTCATATTACTCAGTACATAGTATGTTATACCACATCACATCACATTTTTGGTATTATTCTGTTTGTCCCAAATATATACTCCATTGAGGGCAAGGACCTTGTTGTTTTTTCTCCTGTTGTATCCCCAACTCCCAGAATAGTAGAATATAGTCAATCAACAAATATTTAATTACCAAATTGAGACTATTTTCTGACTTACAAGAGTAACAAATAAGTGTGTTTATGATTGTGCCCTGTGCATCCTACTTTGTCAATGTACATGTTAAGTATTTCTTTGCTTGTTTTTTAAATTGAGATATAATTCACATACCATGTAATTCACTCATTTAAAGTGTACGATTCAGTGGTTTTTAGTATATTCAGAGTTGTACAATCAATTTTAGAGCATATTCATGACCCCAAAAAGAAAAACCCTGTGCCCCTTAATTTACCATAATACTTCCAATCCCCCAACCCTAGGCAACCACTAATCAACTTTATAGATTTGCCTGTTCTGGATACTTCTTATAAATGGAATGATACAATATGTGGTCCTCTGTGACTGACTTCTCTCACTTAGCATAATGTTTTCAAGGTTTATCCATGTTTTAACACATTATCAGTACTTCATTCCTTTTTATGGCTGAATAATATTCCATTTTATGGGTATTATTATTTTGTTTATGTATTCATCAGTTGATGGACATTTGATGTTTCCACCTTTTGGCTATTATGAAAGAATGCTGCAAGGAACATTCATGTATGCATTTTTGTGTGGACATATATCTTTAATTCTCTGGGATATATACCTAGCAGTACAGTTGGATCATATGGTAATTTTATGTTTAACCTTTTGAGGAACTACCAGACTGTTTTTTAAAGTGGCCACACCATTTGACATTCCCATCAGCAGTGGGGTTCTAATTTTTCCACCTCCTCACCAACAGTGGTTATTTCTTGTCTTTTTTATTATAGCCATCCTAGTGGATGTGAAGTGGTATCTTGTGATTTTGATGTGCACTTCCTGGTGGCTAATGATATTGAGCCATTTCATGTGTTCACCGGCCATTTCTGTATCTTCTTTGGAGAAATGTCTATTCATATCCTTTGTCCGTTTTTAAGATGGATTATTTTTCTTGTTATTGTTCTTTGTTTTTTGACTAGGCTTTTTTTAATGGTTATGGTTTTCTCCCTCCTCTCCCTCTTTCAGGTAGAAGAAGTGAAGCGACGGCAGTACTCGCTTGCATTCAGCTCAGCTGGAGCCCAAGCTCAGACCTGTCATGTCAGCTTTGAGACTTTGGCCGAGTGCCAGAGGTGGCAACGGCAAGCATCCAAGGTGATAAGCTGTGAAACAGCCTGATGAGGATATAAGAATGTAGAAGGCCCAATAAAAATGTATTTTGAAACTGAACTTACTCCCAAGAGAACAAATTATAATTTTTATGCATATTACTCTGGGCCTTTCTTAGTATATAATAAATGAAACCATGGGATACCATTGGAAGATACAAGGTCCTCATTATTTAGATTTGCATAATTCAGAATGCTTTCAAAAGTGTTTTCAGGTTCACTTACCTTTATAACATCTCTATGAGGAAGGTAGTGCAAATGTATCCATTTGATCCTTGAAGGAATTGAAACACAATGAGATTAAGTGATTTTCCCTCCATCATAGTAGTCAGTGATGGATGGAGCCGTTCCCTAACTTGTAAGCTAGGTGCTTTGTGGTCTATATTTATTTAGCACAGCCTTGATGAATCACTTCAAATTTGAACTTACTGGTAGGGCAGTGACTTGTAATCCTGTTACAAACTATTATTCTGATACGCTGAGGATAATTTGCCTTTCAGCATAATTTCTGCTTTTTAGCCACGAAAGATGAACTACTCTAAAAGTGTACTGGCAGTTTCCAAATTCTCTTGTTCTCTTAGCCATCCTTACAAAATTAACATCCCTACTAGAAAGTAGCAGAGCCAGTGTGACTGCAAAAAGACCACGTCTTTTCATACCATACTGCCTCCCAAAGCTTTGTATAGTTTCTGTGAATAATCTTAGCGTTACTTCTTGTATGAACTCTTAACTTTCCATCTTTATGATTTGTGGTTTTTTTTTTTTTACCTTTTACTTCTAGAGCCTTTACAACTTAAACCTTTTTGTTTTCAAGTAGCTTATGTTTTTTTTTTTTTTAGTAATATTTTACTGTGTTTTCGGTGAAAATTTACACAGCAAATTAGGTTCCTATTTGACGATCTCTACAAAAAATTGTTCATAGCTTATGGTTTTAGGGAAAAGTAAAAATTAGCTCATTACCTCTTTTTTCTTTCCCATCTTTTAATCTGCGCTTCTCTTTATAAATACCATTCCATCCTATGCTGGGTGAAAGACATTCAGCACTTGCTCCGATGCCTTCCTCTTTGATTTTATTCAGGTGGTGTCCCAGCGAATCAGTACAGTTGATCTCTCGTGTTACAGCCTTGAGGAGGTTCCTGAGCATCTCTTCTACAGTCAAGATATCACCTACCTCAACTTGCGACACAACTTTATGCAACTAGAAAGACCAGGCGGCCTTGACTCTCTCTACAAGTATGTCGGGAATTCTTTTCACTTATAAAATAGATTCCAGGCTAACATATTAAAACTGAATTATCATCGATATAAGTAAGTGACCATGCTTACCATTATGTATATATGTATGTACATATATGTATACATATTCTAAAATTTCCTCTCCACTTGGAAGAAGTACAATTTTTTATTTTTCCTCCCATAAAACAAGATTTGTACAAATGTTCTGTTATAGATACAGCAACAAATTGCCATTGGCCTCCTGGATAATCTTTTTACATAAATCATTGACAATGATGCCTGCTCTATAGCCAGGGTACGTTTTGAAAGATTCAGTATATGGGAAGTTATGAATCAAAAGGATCAAACTTAAAAATGACTTAAAAGAAAGTAGGCCTAATTTTAAGAATTCTACTCCCAGTGACAGGGCTTTTATCTTTCTTTTGTTCCTTCTCCCAATTCTTGAGCATGTCAGCTCTGAAACCTCTCTTCTAATAAAGGAACCATTTTCATGCCTAAGGGTCTAAGACCCACATATGTTTCCATCTCTTTTGTTAAAATATATTCTAATAAAGGAACCATTTTCATGCCTAAGGGTCTATGACACACATGTTTCCATCTCTTTTGTTAACATATATTCTAATAAAGGAACCATTTTCATGCCTAAGGGTCTATGACACACATATTTTTCCATCTCTTTTGTTAAAATGTATAGATCCCCCATTCTTACCCTTCACTCATCCTCCTCTCCCCCTCAATTAAAGCACTCAAAGAGGCTTAAATTACATCATGATTTAAAAGATAATATACATTAAAACGATATATTTTACATACCTCCTTAATAGCTATTATTTCTAGAATAATTTCCAAAAAAGCTCTGGGTGTTCTATTTATCTCATTTTATCAGAAAGTATGTTTTAGAAAAATATTTAGGCATAAGCCTGTATTTGGTAATAAGATAGCTATCTTGGTAATATTGCTGTATAAAAGTGAAAATAAGCTATAATTTTAAGGAGTGGGTTTTAATATTTACTTCTGAGTTGCTAATGAAAATGATCTGGATTACAAATTCTGAATTCAAGGCACCAAGCCAGAGGAACAATCTCAGAAATCAAAAGTTGAGAATTTGGAGGAGAAACATTAGAGTGAGATACCAAGGAGTCAAATCTAGAAGCAGGTGATAAAAGTCATCATCATGGAGAAAACCACTTTAAGCCTCACCATCTTGAACTAGTATAATAACTAAGTATAATACTCTTTAGACTTAATTACCAGAGTGACTCTTAATGAATCTACTTTATGGTGATACCATCTCTGGGTAAGACAATATAGATAATTTTATGTCTACAAACAAAATAGGAGCATTAAAAATAAGCATTTCATGTTGTATATTGGATCACATTACAGGAAAACTGCTTATCACATATGCATTTTCAAGCTCTAACTGACCTGTTCATTTCAAGTGACATTTGAATCGATGTAATTTTAGTATGAAAAAAGAAGTTGCTTATAATGAGATTTGATCTATATGTTTGTTAGCTATTCCTGTCTCCATGAGTTAATTAATTGTTGCAGTGTTGTTGTATGTTGCATGTTGCATATATAAGTTAAAAAAAAGGGCAGAGATTTCACACATATCAAATATGACTTGATACAAAAGAATAGTACTAGTATGACCTTTTTTCCTATATTTTCTACCGTTTTAAGAAAGAGAAGAGAAAAGAACTCTGATCACACTAGATATGGTATCCTTGATAGCACTGACTCTGTGTGAGTCATCTTAGTATCTTCTGTGTCAAGCACAATGTTTGGCATGTAATGAGTGCTCGGTAAGAACTTGTGGAATAAGTTCTGCAAAGGACGTATAAAATAGATCTTTTTGTCATGCAAAATAGATCTTCTTTTTGTCATTCAGTAGTATAATTTGTGCCTTTGCTCTTTAGATTTTCTCAGCTGAAGGGCCTGAACTTGTCCCATAATAAACTTGGGTTGTTTCCTACATTGCTATGTGAGATCTGTACCCTAACTGAGCTCAACCTTTCCTGTAATGGAATTCACCACCTGCCGAGTCAGATTGGCAATCTGCTAAAGTAAGTATCTGACTTACTAGATTTGTCTCTACCTTTACAGTGAAATAAATCATGTAATTTTTAGGATTCTAGTCAGCAGCAGTTTTTTATTTTTTTATTTTTTCCCATACAAAAATTTATACATACATTGTTATGTTACTCTAACTGCTGTCTCCATACTGTGACAGCACACTCCTCCTTTCCACCCCTGATTCCCCATGTCCATTCAACCAGCTCTTAACCCTCGCTGCCTTCCCATCTCACCTCTGGACAGAAGCTGCCCATTTAGTCTCTTGTATCTACTTGAACTAAGAGGCACACACTCCTCATGAGTATCACTTTATGTCCCACAGTCCAGTCCAGTCCAATCCCTGTCTGAAGAGTTGGCCTCGGAAATTGTTTTAGTTCTGGGCTGATAGAGAATTCAGGGGCCATGCTTTCTGGGGTTCCTCAAGTCTCATTCAGACCTTTAAGTCTGGTGTTCTTACTAGAATTTGAGTTCCGCACCCCACCTTTCTCCTGCTCCATCAG